TACTTTGAGTGTTTGCATTAGCTCTGTGGCTTGTTTCCACATGGGTATTTTGCTCTGCTTTGGCTTCCTTACACTGCTGCTGTTTGGGGCAAGCATTCACATGATACTGTCCTCTATTCATCCTGCTTCTGTACCTCTGCTTTGCTTCAGTCTTTCCCAGACCTTGCTGAGCGCTTTTTTTTTTTTTTTTAAATATTGCAGTCAACGCACCCTTGGACACTGTGCAAAAGGGAAGGTGTACATCTTTGCAAGTCCTGTTCCATCAGCACCACTGTCCTTGCCTCACCTATGGCCATAATTTCCCTCCATACTTGAGAGGGCTTAAAAAAACCCACAGGAATCGCTAGATCACTATAGCACAACCATGTTAACATGCCCTACTGACCTGTGGGCTTGTTTCCAGCTTTCATTCTTTGGAAAAAATTAAGTCTCTAGCCCTTTTTGTTGTGTAGTTTATAAGGGGGAAACATTTCTCCACAGAATTCCAAATGAAAAGACCTACAGACTTGCTTAAAAAAAAAGAAAGCTGGAAACTAATGTATCATGGCAATAGACTATGCTATAGCATACTAAGGCAATAGACTATGCTATAGCACAATAATGTTAACAATCTAGCAATTCTCTTTTTTTTTTAAAAAAATGTCTCCAGTGGACCGGGGGGGGGGGAGCCAAGAAAAATGATGTGTGGATGCTCTATTCCCACTGCAAATACCTCTGCATTTGACGATGCAACAACTGCCACACAGTGCATTCTCTGTGAGGAAGCAGCCAGTAATAAGAATCGATTATAAGCCAGCTGCCCCATGTGACTATGCTTCCACGGATTGATAGAAGCATGAGAATTAAAACAACACAAGCCAGGAGACTAACCCTTGGACCCCTGAAGATCTTACATCAGTCCAGTCCTGGTTTCTGACAATCCAGAACTCAAAGTCTTTTCTCTGCAGCCACAAGGGCTAGAACCATTTCTTCCCATTCTTAAGTAGCCAAAACTCTACAAATCCACACAGGATTCCACAATTGCATTTGCAGATATGGGGCAATAAGACCCATGGTTAAAAACCTCAATGAGATGCTCGTTTCCTAAAAATAGGCAAGCTGAGACTAGTTCACATGTACATGAGCACTGTACATAGGAGCCATGTAACTAGCAGTAATAATGCTAGTTCTAGTAAACTTTTTATTTTGTATATAAAATACAATCTATCACATACAATTTTGGAAATAAAAAATGGGGGAAGCAGCTGTGCACAAAACATGGAAGCTACTGGTCACAAATTGTTTATTCCTACGAATGCAGATAGAGGAATGACTACTGCATCAGTAAATAGTAATAATAACTTGCAAGGTGATAAACTGCCAACTCTAAGAACTTCTTAACAAGATCAGACATCATGAGCATGTATTTTAACAGCAGTGAAATTATAAGACTCATATTGCTTCCAAGTTCCAGCAATCATTAACTGTACATTTTTTAGCCCCTATGCAGATAGTGAAAGTTGTCCAGAGTCACCTATGGGTCCAGATGATGTCTCTAGCAATCTGGGGGACATTTTCAGTATGCACAAAAATTATTACTCTGTAAGTTAATCAAAAGGAAAGAAAGCTTTTTAAAAATGGCCTGATGAAAATTGAAAATGCTCCTGTGACAAAATAAATTATGGAAGCATTTTATTTTCAGTAGAATCATGAGTCATTCTATGATACCTAACGTAGAAAATCATCAAAAAACATTTCAAGTAGTCTGGTTTCCTGTAGTGGAATATTTAGCTTATGTACCCATTCCAAAGAACCTGTATTATTGTGAATTATTATACTTTTAATTATGGTATGTTTACCCAAATAACTTGTTAGGTTAAAATACATGACTAACCTGAACATTCGTAATTGTTAAGTTTGCATAACTGTCAAATTTTAAGAGTACGTAAAATTATTATTGTTATTTCCATTATTATTCTATAAAAATGATATAAATGAATATTTTTAAGAAAAAAAAACTGAAAATACTGCAGAAGGGTCAGACTATGGAGAATAGTTTTTAGTTCAAAGAAAAGGAGGCGGGATTAGCTTACTCAAGTTCCTGAGAACTTAGAACAGGGGTCTCCAGCCTTTTCGAGCTTTACAGACTCCTTTGGAATTTTGGCATAGTGTGATGGGCGCAGCAACAAAATGGCTGCCACTGGAGGTGGAACCAGCCACAAAATGGCTCCCACATTACTTTCAGTCACTCAGTGAAAATCCCTGTGCTGATAGTTGCTGCCAAAGCAACATTTTTAAAAATCTGCACAACCAATCAAATCTCCAATGGCCAATTAGAAGCCCTGCTGGGCAAAAGCCCCACCTGGCCCTGCCCACTTTCTGAAAGCACTTGATGGGCACCAGGAAAGGTACTGGCGGGCACCATGTTGGAGATCCGGTTTTACGGAAACCGAGGGGGGGAGGGGGGGAGATAAAATTCTGATGGTGGGATAGGATTTCCAAAGTATTCCCCCCTACTCCACCCACAATTCAAGCATTACCCCCCTCCCAGTCTCTTACTGAGCTAATCAAAGACCCGATACGAAGACTAACTCCTGTTTACAAATCTTGGGGATTTGTGTTGTATTTTAGCATAATTTAGCAGAATAGATAATACATTAAGGCTGTGACCCTGAACTCACTTACTTAGATCCACTGGTGGCAATTCAGTATCTGTTTGCCCCCCTCTGCTCCCTCCCCCTTTCATTCCCAGCAGTTTCCTGTTATTTCCTCCTTCCTTATATGCAATCTTCCAAGTCCCAAATCACAAAGGCTTACTTACACAATTCCTGTCATTGAGCAACCAAGAAGTTAACAGCCCATAAAGTGTCCTCAGTGAACTTTGGAATCAACCGATCTCAGGAAGCTGGGCAGCTCATTTCCGCAGTGATTGGAATCCTAAACCAGCAGAAGGTGCATTCATCTCCTGCTCTACTTGATTTGCGACCACGAAGATCAGAAGGCCATTTCCGATTCAGATTATCATTTTTGCTAAGATTTGTTTGTGGGGCGAGGGCCACTACACAGTGGGCCAAGCGCTTGTGGCGTTCACAAAACAGGTCCATTTCACACCCTCCCATTGCTTTGCAGGAACTGTTTCCTGATGGTGCTATCTGATGTGGCTGCAGTATGCATGAAGACTGGATCACACAGCACACCCTGCTCGTATGATTGCAGCATTCACACACATATCACAGCCATACGAGAAAGCATTAAAGAAGAATTGTTCCTATGCAGTTGCAGGTGGAAGAAAACAGGACATAGGAAGGTGCCTTATCCTTAATCAGACCCTTGGTCCATCAAGATCGGTATTATTTACTTAGCCTGGCAGACACTCTACCACAGCACATGCTGCCCATACCCCCACATTTCTAACTGGGCAGATTTGCCACCACAAAGCTGAGTGCTGCAAATGCACAGAGCACTGGTCATCTGTAATCAGTACAACAAGAATAGCTGTCTGAATTCAGGCAGCAGCAGGAGGAGGAGATTTGGTTCTTATACCCCACCCTTCATTCAGAGTGGCTTACAATCTCCTTCCCCTCCTCTCCCCACAACAGACACCCTGTAAGGCAGATGGGGCTGAGAGAGCTCTCTCAAGAACTGCTCTTCAGAGAACAACTCCGAGAACTGTGACTGACCCAAGGTTACCCAGCTCGCTGTATGTCCACCGCTCTTAACCACTACAACATACTAGCTCTCACACAGCTGAGGCAAACAGCTTCTTTTGCACAGAGGATCCTACAAGAAATCTATTACTTTGCTGAAACTGGTACTGTTTGCGTAATATTAACATTCTGGATGCTAACGCTACCATCTAGACACTTTATATTTTAAAATCCTGAGTCTCCCTCAAAAAGCGAGGCAATTCCCATATTGCAGTTGCAAATTCACTCCCCCACACACACACTGTTGCTTCTGGGGCACAGGGGACCCACATGAACAGCATGAGAAAGGTGTTGGAGGGCAGCAGCTGCCAAAAATCACCCACCCTATCAGCAGCAATTTTCTGCTGGATCCCATCTACTAGCACAGAGGTGTTGAACCCATTTGTTATGAGGGCCGGATCTGACATAAATGAGACCTTGTTGGGCTGGGCCGTGTCATAAAAGGTAATGCCAGGTAACGGAGATATAAACTTTATAAAGGACGCAAACACAAAGGGTTTTTTTACTTAAAATAAAAACATGCTTAAAACATTAGCACCCTTGCAATATTTTGCTTATTTAACAGTATCTGATAACTGATACCTCTTGCTGTGAAGTATTGCATGAAAATGTCTGTGCTGTTGCAATCTTGAGTATGCTGTTCAAGTGTGTATCTGTGAGCTGCAAACTTACTTTTGATTTATTGACATTCACCACAGAAATCTCATGCTCAGAGTTCTGAGTCTAGGACTCAGGTTAAAACATGAAATGGCGGAGTCTGGTGAAACAAGCTATGATGCTGCAGCAGCAGCAGAACTGAAAGCAGGAGATGGCCAGTTTCACTGTGGGCCTGACAGAAGCCCTCTGGGAACCTGATCCGGCCCCTGGGCCACATGTTTTGCTGTGTGTGTGTGTGTGTGTGTGTGTGTGTGTGTATGTATGTATGCACTTTCTGTGAGCCGCCCTGAGCCTGCCTTGGTGGGGAGGGCGGGATACAAATAAAACAAACAAACAAACAAATAAAATGTTTGACACCCCTGCACTAGCATCTTTGCTTTTATACTTTCAAGCATCTCTCTCCATAAGGGCTTGAAACTTGGCTCATTAGACTCCAGAATCTGGAACTCATTGACCCATGTGAGCTACAGAGAGCCTCAGAGGCTACATAATGACCACTTCTCCCTGCTATTCAGTGCAACAGATGTATTAGTCTAACCACTGCGTTATTGACAAATGGAAATGTGAGATGAAAAGCTTTAGTATGGATGCTCCAAATTCTTGCTATATAGATAGGGTTTATCACAAGAACCACAATCACTAAAAACCTCCACTTACCTGTGGCATTCGCTATCGCAAGGGGAAGCCCTTGCAGCTGATGAACTTGGATTCCAGCTGCTCCCAGGGCACCGAGGTTAATCGTCTGGAGGCCTGGTACGGAGGACAGCTGAGCAGCATTCACAGTGACAGTGCCACTTGGCAGAGAGGCAGAAGCAATCGGTGTGAGCGTTGTGTTGGTGCTCCCTGTCTGCCCCAGGGACACTCCCTGCACCGGAGCCAAGGCGATTGTCTGAGCCTGTGGGTTCTGAACCTGAAGATTTTGCAGCTGAAGCGTCTGCCAGGTGACCTGCCCGTTCGGCCCCACAGTGGGCGTTCGAATAAAGATTGGACCGGTATTGGGGAGAGTCTGGATTTGCAAGTTCTGCAAGGCATCTTGGGTAGCAAAGGTCTGGCCTCCTTGTCCTCCTTGCACAAGCTGAGGCTGCACCAGGATCTGCTGCTGCTGCTGCTGATTCTGATCAGCATCTTTCTGCTGACCTGACTGGACTGCAACTCCGGTAACCTGCAAAGCATCGGCGTTTTGAGCACCGCTTGTCCTCTGAGGTGTCTGCACCTGAATGTTTGTTCCCATTGTGCCAGTGGTGGAAAAATTCATGATGCCCACATTACTCGTGGTGGTGGCGTTGTAGCTGTTGGCATTGGTAAAGAAACAGCCGGAGTTGCCCTGGGAAACAGCTACGCTGGAGGAACTGATGGCGGCACCAGAAGTGACTGGCTGAGAGCCGCTCTCCTGAGACCCGGAGTTGCTCAGAGTAACTGACTGAGAAGTGGGGGCCAAGCTGGCTGCGATGCTGTTGACGGGCAATAATGTGATATTGCCGTTCAAAGCTAGTGGGACATTAGTGACATACTGAGTTTGCCCTGAGAGAGCATTAACTCCCTGGATGGGGACAGCCTGCTGCAGAAGGTTTGGCATGGCAGCCAAGATATTGCCAGTCCCTGACCTGTTTGCAATGAGCTGCTGGTTCGTCCCAGGGATGATCTGCAGCTGGCCAGAGGCATCCTGCTGAACACTGACTTGGGTGGCGGTGGTGGCAAACTGCAACTGTTGTCCGTCCACAGTTTGAAACTGGGGGATCACCTGATACTGAATATTGGGTATCACTCCCGACAAGCTTGTCAGGACTTGCTGATTCTGCATACCGGAGGTGGTAGTGACCACGTACTGCCCAGTGGCAGTGGGTCGGTTTTTGGATGACGAGTCGCTCTCATCGTTGCTGTTTGTCCCTTGGTCTTTTGGAGAATCAGAAGTCCCAGAGGGAGTGGAAATTATTTGCCAGCCATTGCCATTCTGGGACATCTGATTTGCAGCTGCAGCAAGGTCCAGTTCATTTGAGCCCCCTTGCTGTCCCTGCAAGCCGTCCGCATTCTCATTGGGGGACTCAATCCTGCTGCACGTAGCTGCCAGCAGAGCCAGAGGGGAAGGCTGAGACTCCTGACAGGAAACACAGAAGGAGGAGGAGTCAAGAACCCATTTGCCAACCCCATAGGTAGTATGGAACAAGAACAAAAATGGTGAGGAGGAGCATACATGCAGAAAGCCTGTCAGAAATAAGTGGCCCACCCACCAGCAGAAGCAGCTACTGCAACCACTGGACTCTGGAGCAAAGCACGCTGCAACAGAGAGAAGGAAAGCCATCTGCAAGTGGATTTCTAAAGAACAGATATCCTTCCCCAAAGAGGGAGTGATTTCCGAAACTGCCTTAAAAATTTGTCCCAGGAAGTATAAGTCTGTGAACCCACAGTCCACAGCACCTTCGACAAGGAAACTATATAACTGAGATGAACAATTCTGTAAAGTTAACAATTCTGCTGCAGTTCAAAAGACAGTACTCATGGGGCCACTATTAAAACTCAAAGGAATAGCCCTTAATAAACCAATTACCCCCCCCCCTTTTGAAACGGCCTCCTAACATAAGGGATGAGATCACATCTGTCACCCCTCTTCTGTCCATAAGCGGCAGAAGATTCCAGGGCTTCTGAGCACATTTTCATGAGAAATGCCAAAGAGCCATCTCATCTTAACCCATGAAGCAGAAAATAGAAGTGCATTCATATAACAGCTATAACCAGAGACCAAAGATATCCCCCCCCCCAAAAAAAAAAGATTGCCGGCTGTTGCCACACTTTATTTTAAGAACCCCACTCACCTGGCCCTCACAGTTTCCTCCGTCATTGCTACAACAACCTTCATCTATCTTCTCAGTTTTTACAATAACCATTTCTTCTGAAATATCATGGTCTGCATGAGAGTTGGGGTGGGGGGAGAAAGTGAGAGAGTAAAAATTGAATGGTCACAGATGGAACAATCAGGTGACAGAAAATACAAATTTTAAAAATTGGAGCCTTCAATGTCTTAGAAAGTCACAGGCAAACAATTGCTCTATAGCAGACAATACAAAATAATACTGGGTGCACAAAGTGCTACAGTCAGACCTCTGCCTAGTCATGAAGTTTGCTGAGCGGTCCTGAGCACATTCCTGTGCCTCAGCATAAACTACCCCCACAGGGGTGTTTTATCATGTATGCCACCTAGAAGTCTACAGAGGAAGACTGGGATGCAAATAAATATACAAAATGTGGCTGGCATTTAAAGGACATTAGTCACCATCCTGCAAGTTGTGGCATGTGTAAAGCATCACCAATGGAAGTTAAGTGAGATCTTAGAGCACAAGATGGTGGGAGAAGCCACTACAGTGCTAAGAATAAGACCCAGGGAAGTAAGACTACACCAACTTGTTTATTACTACAGGAATACACCATAAGCAGACTTACACCAATGTAGGGTGGTTTAGGCTGCAAGATGGCAAATAAGGCCAGCCAGTGTGCTGGGTGGAGCTACTGAGCCTGATCTGTCTCATCAGGCCCCAACTCTCTCACTCAAGCACCACACTAGACACTTCTTCTTCCTGTTAGAATGTAAAGCTTGAAAGCTTGCTTGCTTTTAGAGATACAAGTTAAATAGAGAGCACATTTTCTTGAGAATAGGTATCACTGTATTCTGTGTTCTCCTACCACCACATAGCCAGTTTTTGTTCTCAAGTTCGGTAGAAAATTCAACCCAATATTGAATCTATTCAAAGACCCCCTTTTCAGAGTAATCATGTGCATTTTTAATTTTTCCACATGAAACAGAAGTTGGGGGAGGGGCCCCCACCATGCCTATTTTTAACACGCTTCTGCCAAAAGTACTAGGATTCGTTGACACATTATTTAAACACTGCCTTCACAGCATACCTCATTGGGAGGCAGTAATCACCACACACAGCCCCTCAGCTCATACTCAAGCAAAGCTACCTTTGGTATAAGGCTACTAAAAGAAAATTCAGATGATGGGGGAAATGAAACAGAAGTGAGCAGCTATGTGAGGCAGGCCAGAGCGATAAAGAAGAACGCCAACGTGTAATCCACAGGCCAAGCAGTTCTACGTAAGCCTAATACCCCAACAGCCCTACACCAAGGGAAGCTACACCAAACAAAAAAGTTCCAAGTGGGTCAGAATCCACATGCTCCCATCCTAACCAAATATCGGTTTTACTGGACACGTAGGAACTCAGCGAATACACACTGGACAACCAGAGTTGAAAAGACAAGGGGGGGGGGGAGTTTTAGGAAACCAACAGCACGATCCTAACCAGAGCTACATCCTTTTAAACTCACAGACTTTAAGGGGCTTGAAAAGGTGTGTAGCTCTGCTTAGGGGCTGCACCACTAGTGGGATTGCCCTTCTGACATTTTAGATGAGAGAGGGTTTCGGGAAGGTTTCTCTCAATGATTAATCCGCGGGGCCTGACTCGGAAGCCACTTCCCTCCTGATGAGACTGTCACGACACGCCATGCGGCCTGCGCCCCAGCCCCTTCTCCCAAGCTGAGACGTCGAGGGTGAGAGGGCTCCGTTGAGGGGGGGGGTGCACTTTGTGTATGTGCAGAGGCACCCCTTTTATGAGGAGCCAGAGTTGGCTCGAGCGAAACCCCTTCTCTCGCCCCCCCCCCTCTCTCTTTCTGACGCACACAGTTTTGCCTGCCTGCCTGGCGTCCCTCCACGGCCCGCTTCTCACGCTCCACCAACACCCGCCGAGAGGAACTCCATCCTGCGCCGCCGCGGCATCTCCGCTGAGAAATTCCCACCCCCAACCCCACTCCTGCCCCACCTGGTCCCGCCCTGGCCCCCCCTCCGATCCTCCTCCTTCCTCCCTCCCTCGGGCCAGCTGCCCTCCCCCGGCTTCCTCCGCCCCCCAATCATGAGCCCCGCTGGCCTCCTCGGGGCCCCTCCCCCAAGGCTTGCCCCTTCCCTCGGCCGGCTCTCCCTCGCCCTTCCTCAGGCTCGTTACCCCTCCCCCGCTCGGGTCCCTCCGCCCGGGGGGCTGGGCTGGGCGGGGCGCGAGAGAGGGAAGGAAGGCGGCGCCCCCCGCCCGCCCAGGATGGTCCCGTCCTTACCGCTCATGTTGGCTGAAGGGGGGGGGCGAGCCCAAGTGGCGCCGGAGGGGTGGGCGGGGCGGGGGCAGCGAAGTCGGTGACGAGGCAGCCTAACCCCACCGGTGACCGCTAAAGGGTTGGCGAGGGGAGGGAGTTGCGCCGACACGGCCCCACAAGCCCAGGAACACGCCTCCCGACGGCACGGCCAATCACAGAGCCAAAAGCTACCAGTAGGAGGCGGGGCTCGTGGTGAATGACGAGTCGTTCGGCCATTCAGAAATGCAGGGTGGAGTGTGAAGGGACGAAGACGTGAGGGGGAGGTGGAAAGTAGCTAGTGGGTGCAGTTTGCGGAGTACTCGGTGGCGGTGCCCCATTTCGGGAAACGCCTCCCGAGGAAGCTCCACCCAATGGCGGGAGGGTGGAGAAGGCGGGGGGGATTGACCGAGAGTAGGAAGAATTGTGCCAAGTGGATGAGGCAAGAAACAGATAACTGACGTAGCAGGAGACCAATCGACGATCGCAAAGAGAGACGGGAGGGGTTTTCCCGACAGTGATGAGCCCGTAAGATGAAAAGGCGGGACAGCGTCGTGATTGAGTTGCCTCTAACCCAGTTGAAGGAGTCGACGAGGGTGGGGCTCTAAGAGCGTCGCTTTTGGGGATAGCAGGGAATGATATGAACTAGAGCCAATCAGCCTTCAGGAAACGATGAGAGAGGGGCCGGGTATGTTTTATAGCGATCGAACACTTAGCCAGGCGGTGTTAAGGAGAGACGGAAGGCAAGAGCCAATGAAAAAGGCGAAAAATCTCAAATTGTCCAATGGCAGTGGTGGTTTCTGTGGGTGTTTTTAGCACCGCAAGTTACGGATGTGGCGCCATTTTAGATCAGGCGTAGGAGCAAATGTCCCGCCTTTTTCCTCCATTTAGTAAGAGTTATATAACGAGAAGTGACGCGCGTGCTTTCACCCCCGCAAGGAATCGGTGCAAGGGGCTTACGTCAGGCCGGAATTTCAGTGCCCTGTCTAGAATGTCATGGCTCTTGTGCGCAAAAGTTTTCTCTCTAACTTTTGTCCTTTATTTTTTTTTCTATAAGGTTTCTTATTTAAAAATCAGAGACTGTATCGTTCACGAAAGGAAAGGATCACTATGCAGATGCACAGAGTTGCCAGGACCTAAGAAAACAAATTGTCTGTCCCTGTTCACAAAGAGAGTCCCAATTGTCTGATTCTTGTCCATTAGATATCATGATCCCTATTTTTCCCTTTGAGAGAAACCTTAGAATTGTGTTTGTATGAGTTGTTAGAGTTTGCAATTCGTCAGGCTGCACCTCATTCCTGGTTGAACTTGCCTGTGTATACAATAAGGCCTTAAGCAGTGCCCAGCTTGCCATTTCGCACACTGAAACTGCCAAGGTCCAAACAGGATCTTTCAGCATCAGAAAGGCAAAAGATTTTCAGTGCATAAATGGGTTTAAACTGGTTTGACTCTGATTAGGATTGTGTTGTAAATTTAGAGAAACTTGTCTGGCCTCATGCTGGCTTCAATTGTACTTTTCTCCCAGAAGAATTGGACGTCAGGGGAAATGACCTGGTTTTCAAAGCTCCTATGTAAACCTGGAGAACCAGTTTTTTGTGAAGTGGAGACTGGTAGATTACAAGATTACCATGTGCCCTTGTCAATAATCCTGGATCTATGGTATCACAAGCCTCATAAAATCTATAAACTGATTCTAAATAAGGTATATTATCTAAGGTGGCCCTGACCTGGATAGCCCAGGCTAGCCTGATCTCAAAAGCTAATCCTTTGGACGTCTCTTGCCTTGAAAATACTACAGTGATGCCAATGGCAGCAATAGTAATGCTACTCTAGAGCTACTAACTACAAGCATACTGTTCTGGACATTTCTTAGCATTCTGGATGTACGCACAAGAAAGATTTTTTTTACCTGAGCATCAGCCAACACACCTTTGTACAAAACACTGTAAAGTCTTTATCTGAGATGCTACAACAAAGGCATGGAAACAGGGCAGTACAAGAGGACATTCCTCAAACAACTAAGAAGCGCAGCAAAAGAAGTTTTGAGAAATGCGGGGCAAGAGTGTGCCGCAAGTGGTCTGACTACTGATTCCTGTGAAACAGATGCAGAAACGCACACACAAAAATATCCACAAAAAACCTGAAGTGAAAGTGGGACAGAATGCAGAAGGGAAGAAAAGGATGCATGCTGAAATCAAGGAAAAATACAGATGCGAAAAGGGCCTTTGTTCCCCTAAAAAGCACCCTGGAATTAAACCTTGGTTAGCAACAGGTTTTATAATAATAATAATTTATAATACCTTTCGATTTATTGATCGCTCAATCCGGCAGAGCTGCTGGCTCTGAGCGATTTACAGTTACACAGGTTTCACACAAGGGACTAACAATTGTTCATAGGGGTAAGGGAGGACAACATATAATTATTTAAATCGCACACGTTTGCAGCCGACGGGGATTCTGTTCAGCTGTAGGCTTCAGACGTGTTCCGGACAGCATTCACTTCGGCTTGGCTTGATGACGTTGGTTCTTCCTGGGCTGCTTATAGGGAGTTTGATGTTGAACGGGAGGCAAAGAATGTTTGTTACGGTTCCCCATCATCCCTCAGGTTATGCTGAAACAAACACCATTCTCTCCAGGTGCCTCAATTGGGTTAGAAACTGGGCCAAAGGTGATCCTCAAAGGGCCCCGGTTTCCTCCTGGGAGCTCCCGTTCTGAGGTTCCTTCAAAGTCCACTTAACTGAGAACAGATCTTGATACCAACTCAGTACTTCTGTAGCTTTGAAGCAGGGCGTGACAGTGGTCCCAGTCACACTGGGCTGTCTACTCTTACAGTGGCAGCATTACATTTATTTTGCACTAACACTTCCATGTGCTAGGGGCTGGACAAAATATCCACATGACTAAATCACTAATGCCCAAATGGATTTACAGTCTACAGTGAATGCTCCCTGCTGTTTCCGAGATCTGTAGTACAGATCTTTCAGAGTTTTTTGCTACTTGCCTGTGTGACCTGTTTTGTGGTCTATTTAACTTCTGATAGCTGGTCAGTACTGGGAGACCAAGGCAACAATATGGGATCCATCTTACTCAACTTTAGAAAGCCAGACTCCCTATCTATATCACTTTTTGATCTTACCTTCCTTGCTCCCACCCACCCACCAGCGTTGCGTGGTCTGGGTTGGAAAATACCTGGAGACTTTGGGGGTGGATTCAGGAGAGGGTGGGGTTTGTGGAGGGGAGGTGCCTCAGCATGTTACAACACCACAGAGTCCACTCTTCAAAGCAGCCATTTTCTCCAGGGGAGCTGATCTCTGTCAGCTGGAGATCAGTTGTAAAAGCAAGAGATCCCCAGGCCTCACCTGGAGGCTAGATAAACACAGAAAACACCGTGTTGAAATAATAAACACAATATTCACATGCACTTATAGCTAAATATATTTGCTTTATATACACAACACCAACTCTAGTGTATTGTAAACACTTTCAAACTACAACATCACATTTCAAACACTTTCAAACTACGTTATATAACA